GCCACCAGGGAGGGCCTATGTAGCTATTTTAAAAAATCATTTGAGTTAATTGTCAGCATCATAACACCTCACCCCTCAATACTATGGTTATATTTTTAAAATTTTTATTCTTAATGTTTATTCTTATATCATTGCTAATTTTTGGACAGAATTTGATTTCTCCTCTCAGCTCAGGTGTAGTCCCAAATGGTGTATATCTTCCCCCCCCCCCGCCCCCCCTCCCGTTTGGAAGAGACCTTTCTCCCTCAATATTCTCTTTTATTGATGTTATGGAAAGAAATTAGAGATACACAAAGAATCAACAGTAGTTAGAGTGCAAATGCAAGTCTAATACAAAGAACCCTGAGCGAAGTCATACAGTCTGCCACCATCCACACGGGGTGACATTAGGCAGCTTGGTAAAGTTTAGTTGTTTCACTGCTGTGCTTCCAGGCAGACACCTTGCATGCCAGTGGAGGATAAGTGTAAATAAAGTGCATTATTATTATTTTACTTAATAGCCAAATGATGTATGTCTTTTCAGAAGAAAGACATGGGGCCCTGCCTGGTGGTGAAGGGGGTTAAAGCCCAGCACTATGAAGCTGTCTGCAGCCACAGCAGCACAAGTTCGATCCCTGGCTAGGGAGCTGACCCACATGGCGCAGCAGACCTTTCCTGTCCTGCCCACTGCTACCCTCAGCACTGTATTTCAGTCCATCTGCCTGTTCTGCTCCCCACTCTGTCTCTTGTGAATCCTCTCACCCCCACCCCCACGCCTCTGTCCTGCACCCCAGCTCTTGTATGCATAAATAAATAAATCTTAACAACAACAAAAAAAAAGCAAGAGGGAGAGGGAGATGGAGATCCGGGAGGCAGGAGTCCTGGCATTTCCTAAGTCCAGACCTCTCCAGCAACCTGAGGATTAACATTCTTTTCAGCTCCTCTGATCCCCTCTCCATTTGCTTGATGCCCTCGTCCTGTCCTTTCTTTTCTGGCCCTCAAAGTGGGGCACGTTTTCTCCGTCCCGTGCTGGAGTCTCTTCTCATGGATTTGGTCCAGCTTGCCCTTGCTAGCGTCCAGTGCAGGAAAGTCACTGCCCAAGGCTGTGCTGTGGCTCCGAGACTGTGCAGCCCTTGAAAGGGGCCGGGACACCAGCATCTGATTATTCTCTAACTCAGCAACAGGTTCCAATCCTGCCTCTCACTGTTTTTCCCATTCCTCCACTTTCCAGCTTCCAGTTAACTCTTATTTGTCTGTCAGAGCAGATTTAGCCCAAAAACGCAGAGAAGGTTTTAACAAGTAAAGTTTCGCCTTGGCGTTGTTGGGTTTTGTTTGTCCCGTTTTTTTATTGTTGTTGATTGCTCAGTCTTTTGAATGAACACAGAAGTGTGGGCTACAGGAAGCAACTCATTCCTAATGATTTTGGAAACATCACTCTCACACAGATGGAGCCCAAGTTCTCTTAAAATGAGCAGCAAGCGTGACACATTTCTCTTACGTCCCTTTCTAACCAGTATTTTGGGTTCGTCCTGTACCGAACATGGCTTCCTCTAGACTGCAGCAAACCGACACCCCTCTCTTCACCTCTCAATGGTGTCCACGATCGGGCCTACGTCTCCGTGAATGGGGTAAGGCTGTCCGAATTGCATGTGACCACTGATGTGCGGTTGGGGGGCCAGGGTGTGGGGGTGGTGTGTGCCCTGGGCTGCGTGGTGGCGGAGTCTGTGCCGACCTTACCAACTGCAGGCTCACCTGCACCTCCTTGTCTCCCAGCTGCACCCCTCACTGGGCCGCGTAGCCTCACCCAGGCGCCATCTGCCGGGAGCCCCAGGGCTGCGCCCCAGACCACGCAATCCCGCAACACCTCCCTGGTGTCCCCGCACCCACGCCATCCTCTGAGGACAGTGCTCACTCTGTACACACCAGAGAGTTGATCCAAGTTACGTTGGGCCTTAATCCAGCACAAGAAACTACATTCAGGAGAATGGTGTATGATAATTATAGCTAAAATGCACACAGAATTTTCCCTTATAACAAAAGACAGATATGTGTTAGGATTTCCATTCCCCTCACTGGAATAGTTAAACAACACTTTCCTAATTTGTTAAGAAAATTTTTAATGAAAATATTTCCGTTCTGTTTCATCAGTGGCCTTCATTTTAGAGGAGCAAGTGTCTAACGCATTATGTGACCTGTGCTGATGGTGGTTGTTTCTAGGCTTCAAATTTAGAAGTTATCTTAGTGAATTCTGGTCTGTTTGAAAAAACATTTTTTTTTCAAATCTAACCTTTTTTAAAAGTAGGAATATGTTGTTACTGAAGAGTCTGTTGTTTTCCCTTATCCTACTATATAATTTTCGTGGTTAACGCACCTTATCAGGTATTTTGAGGCCCCACCTAACTCGTTGATTTTTATCTCGTTTATCTGGTTTTCTCATCTCTCCACATTGCTTAAAAACTATTTTTTAAGACTGTATTTTCTGCTGTAAGAACATGAAACAGTTCCTGGAATGAGAACCCGACCCTGGAATTTTTCCCTTTATTCTCTTGTTCCATTCAAAAGAGATGCGGATCAGAAGACTGGAGCAAAGGCAGTCAGCCTGGGCTTTCCCTGGTCAGAGTTGGTGACTTTCCCGTTAGGAAGCAGCGAGTGGAGGAACTGACCACCTGTCTGGTGGTGACAGCATCCCCTACCCAGACCCTCAGGCAGGAAAACAGGTGCTGAATTACCTGAGCATGTTCCTCTCCTTGCCCTCGTTAACTTTCTTTGGCGTTGAACCCACAGGTCCCCCAGGGAATCCTTCAGCGCAACGATGTGCTCTCACTGAATATAACCGGAAAAGCTGGCGCCACTCTTGACCTTCTGGTGGAGAACATGGGACGGGTGAACTATGGCAAGGACATCAATGATTTTAAGGTAGGGTCAGCCACTCTGCTGCTGTGAGGAGTGGGGTTCACAGGTCTGCCCCTTAGCTGTCTGAGGAAGTTTCTGGAAATCTATTTCAAACCCTCCCTGCAGCCCCCGTTAACACAGAAGCAATTTTTAAAAGCCAAGGCTCTTTGCTACATTTGCTGAGTGAGCGTACCCTGATTTGTTTTGCAGTGTAGAAGCTGAGTTATTTGAAGACCTGTGTTTCTCTGCAGGTGGTGAGGTGGTTGAGCATTGCATACTGCCCTTGCTTTTGAGTTCAGTCAGCCTGTAGGAGGAAGCCACTTCACCTTGCTTGTAAACCCAGCAAGCTCTCTCAGAGACACTCCCTTGCCAGAGGAGATAACTTAGCATTTGGTCTGTTTCCTGGGTGTGGACCATCGGCAACAAACTCTTCAATTATAGAGTCTTTTCCCTCAGTGCACTGCCTCTGCCCATTGCAACTAAACCAGCTAGTTCAAATTTGCTGTGTACCAAGTATTTTGAGAGTATTCTGTGGCAAACATTTGTTAAGCTTATACCCTGTGTAAGATACTCCGTGAGGGACACAGGTTTTGAGATCAAGGTTCCTTGTGCGTAGCTCACCATGTGCGGAAGGAGAGAAGATGGGCAGAGGGAATGGGATGGTACCAGCAGGTCTAGGACAGGATAAGTGTCTGGGCTAGTTCCTAGTGCTCTTGGTGGCAGCTTAAGACAATTAACACACTTAGGGGATACTATGTAGGGGGCCCCTTTACCTCCAGGACCAGTGTCCATGACCCTGTGCTTAGGCTATCATTAATGACCTCCCTGCCCGGCTTTCACAGGCCCAGCTGCCCTTTGCAGTGGCAGGACCTCACCATCTAGCCTCCAGGGCCCAGTAGAGAACCCGACATAGCTGCCTGCTGGTCATGTTCATTGAATTACCAAATGGGCAACGGAAGCTTGGTATTGCGAGGTGCTGGGGCAAATTTGGGACCCATAGGGGATGGATACATTCCCCACATAAAAGACTGGGCAAGGAAAATTGAGGTGCCAGGAACGTGAGGGGCCAGGCTATGGCCCCCATTAAGAGCCTACTTAAGGATCCAAGTCTGAGGATCCCCGTCTTTATCAGTGTCCTTTCTGCCGTTTTACAGAGCTCAGAGTATTGTCATTTACTTCATCCCATTTAGTGCTGGACAAGGCGAGTGGACTCAGGTGTGATCATGCATGAGTGCATGTTGCCAAATTGCTCGAGGTGAAGACTTGCTTTCACTTAAAGGCCACGGCAGAGGCCCCGCCTCAGCAGACAGGATGTACGGCTGCTCTTGCACTCCAGTCATTCTCTGGCTCCTCAGAGGCCGCCATCCTTCCGTCCATTCTAGCAATGGCTCTGAACCACAGACAGGATTGAGGACTTGGGGTCAAAGACTCCGTATCTGAAGGGCATTTGTGAGAATGTCCTGGCTTCCAAAGTGAGAGAAGTGTGGTTTCGGAAATGTACCTTTTCAAGCCAGATCTCGGTGACATTAACACACAGTTTGAGTCTCATTGAATGTTGGGGTTTTGTATCCCATTTTGCTTTTCCAGAAATTCCAGATTGGAACTCAAAGGCACATGAACCCTTCTCCTTCCCACCCCAGAGTTCATTGCTGTTTCTCTTCCACAGGGTCTGGTGTCTAACCTGACGCTCAACTCCAGTATCCTCACAAACTGGACCATCTTTCCACTGAACACCGAGGATGCCGTGCGCCGCCACCTGGGGGGCTGGGGTGACCGTCTCAGCGGCCCCCATAATAAATCGAGTGCCCGAGGCTCATCCAACTACACACTCCCAGCCTTCTACAGTGGCAACTTTTCCATCCCCAGTGACATCCCAGACTTGCCCCAGGACACCTTTATCCAGTTTCCGGGATGGACTAAGGTACGTTTCATCATGGGAAGTGTTTTCAGTTCCGAGCTCAAACGTCTGTTGTTTAGTGTGTGAGAAAGAATAAAAAAGAGCTGTTAATGAAATGATGGGTGACAGACTGAGGAGGGGGTGAAGGGGCTCTCTGTATTACTGATAGTTTACGCATTCCTCAAGAGCCAGACCCTGGCAGATACTCAGGGATTTGATGAGCAGCTTGACGGTACCCCCATCTGGTCAGTGTTCCGTCTAATAACATCCTTTACTGAATGGTGGCTTCCTGCTTCCTCTAAGAAAAATCACAGGGGCCCTTCCTGGTGGTGCAGCTAGCTACAGCACAGCAGTGCAAGCTAGCCACAGCCACCTTCAGTGGCAAGTTCGATCCCCAGCCCTGGAGGTGACCCACATGGCGCAGCAGACCTCTCCTGACCCGCCCGCTGCTCCCCTCAGCAGTGTACTTCATCCATCTGTCTTTTCTGCTCTACACTCTGTCTCTGGTGAATCCTCTCACCACCCCTGCACCTCTGGCCTGTATCCCAGTTCTGTGTGCATAAATAAATAAATCTTTAAAAAAAGGAAAAGGGGCCTTCCCTGGTGGCGCAGCGGGTTAAAGCACAGCATAAAGAAGCTTAAGTTTGTTCCACATGAGTTCGATCCCCGCCTGCCCTAAAGATGATTCACATGGCATAGCAGACCTCTCCTGACCCGCCCGCTGCTCCCTTCAGCAGTGTACTTTGTCAATCTGCCTGTTCTGCACCCCACTCTTTCTCTGGTGAATCCTCTCACCCTCTGCCATCTCTGGCCTGTACCCAGTTCTGTACGAATAAATAAATCTTTTAAAAAAAGAAAAGAAAAAGAAAAATCATAGCCCTTTGCATTCTGGCTACGAGGAGCACTTGCACTTCCTCTTTTTCCTGAAGAAATTCAGATCCAGACAAGGGACTGAATCTCTGGGAGAGCTTATTTTTTCTCATCTATGCCTAGCTCTGTTCTCCCTTAATCCCCACCTCATACAGCCCTGGGCCTGGCGGTGTCCCCCATCGTCTGTATGATCACCAGCTCTTCCCCGGCAAGCACTTTATTTTTTGAAGACATTGGCTTTGCTTCACTCTTGCCTCTTCCAGTTCCAACCCCATTTTCACCCTACTGGGCCTTACCATTGCCCAGTTATTCACTCAGCAAATGTTTTCCAGTGTCCACTATGTATCCAAGGTTTGTGCAGGGCCCTGAGGATATAGTAATGGCTAAAATCAGGTATTATTCTTGCCCTCATAGAACTTACAGCCTAGCTGGGGAAGCAGACCCACCTCATACAAGCATCTAAATTAAACAGTGAAACTGCTGTTGCACTGGTTGCTAAGAAGACATGCTGGGGGTTATCTCCATGCCTCTACTTGGCCTTGTCAGGGAAGTCATGGAACCCTCCTATGGAAGTGATTGATAGGGGTATGAAGGATGAGTAGGAATAAAAATGGCAAAATAGAAAAGGGAAACATGTCCCAGGCAGTGGAAATAGAATGTGCTAGGCCACTTGGTTAGATGGGGAGGATGGTGAGTAAGGAAATAGTAGAGGACCTGGATGTATATTACACAGAGGAAAGGGAATGTGGCTCAGAGAAGAGACTAGAAGCGGGTAGAACTAGATTAGAGTGGGCCAATTAAACCACATTAAAATTTGTCTTTGTGTTGAGAGCCATTAAATAAGAGTGTGATCTGATGGCATTGTGATATGACAAGCCGCTCTGACCCCCATGTGCAGAAAGGGCTGAATTAAGGTATAGTCCTTAACCCAGGATCTATCTAGGAGATACTATCTAGGTGAATGGGCAGTAACCTCACTGAAAGAGTTGGATGGTGGTAGCCACAACTGAGATGGCATCAACTACTTGAGAGACATTTGAAGATAAATCAATGAAGCAATGATATTATGGACACAGGGGGTAAGACAGAAGGATATAGCCTGGCTGGCAATCGTAGAGCTCACTGAATGAAAGAAGAAATTTCACTCCTAACTATACCCAAAAGAAGTGAAGACATGTCTCCTCTAAGACTTATGAGCGCTGTTAGCTGCATTGTTCACAATACCCTCAAAATTGGAAATAATGTAGATACCCATCAACCAGTACATGGACAAATGTGGCCTACCCATACACTGAAATACTATTTCACAGTTAAAAGGAATAGCGTACTGATTCCAACCACAATATGGATGAATCTGAAAAGCATCCTGCTAAGTAAAAGATATCAGAAAAGGCCATGTATTGTAAGATTCCATTTATAGGAAGTGTTTAGAAAAGGCAAATTTATAGAGCTAGAGTTTGCAAATGGATACAAGGTTTCTTTGGGGTGACAGAAATGTTCTGGAGTTAAATGGTGATGGTGGTTGCACGGATCTTCGTAAATTTATTCAGATTTATTTTATGATCCAGCATATGGTATTGCTTGGTGAGCATGTTCTGGGATTTTAAGCGCTATTATCCTCTCCCTTGCCACATGGTTTTACCCCCCAAACTCTCACACCACCCAAGTCTGCTTAGATCTTGCCAACACCCTGACCGCCACTAAGGTGCAGCGACATCCTATCAGCCTTACGTCACCACGACCCTTCTTCAGGGGCCACCAACCCACTGTGTTTCCTTGCTCATCCATTCTGGGTGCCTCCGTGGGCCTTTGCTGGTTCACCAGGAACTGAGTACTCGGGGCCTCTCCAGTGCATTCATCAGAGCTACCTTTTCCTTGCTGTCTTCAGCCTCCAGTGCCCCCCACCAAGCCCAGCAGCCCTAGGTGTGCCTGACCTTCCCCAGCTGGCCTTTCTTGCCCCACCTCCAGCTGCCTTACCCTCCCCCACCACCTGAGCAGAGGGCTCGCCTTCCTGGCTGCTGTCAGGTGTAACTCCTTTGTTCCTTCAGTTTCCTGTCAGACTTATCTCTCGGTCTCCACTCTCACTTCCTGCCCGGTAGCCTCTTGGAGGAAGTCTAAGCGTGAGGCCCCTCCCACCTTTTTCCTCCAAGCCAATATCCTGTTCTCATACTTCCTCCTGGTTATGTCGCCTTTCTGTCCTCTTTGCCAACTCCTATTTTGCAGTCTAGAAGTGAATACCTTGGTGCTCTAAGATCTCAAAACCTCCCCGCTTTAGCTAGCAGGTCTGTTCCTGTCCCCTTGCTCCCTCTTTTCTCCCCAACTTTCATCTCCCCTTCTCCCCCTTGGAGTCCTGCTGTGTCTTTCTTTTCTTCATGCTTCTTCATCCTCTCGCTGTGTCCACCCCATCTTCATCTCCCAAGAATGGCATGAACTCCTACGAAAGCTTCCAGCCCTGAGTCCAGGAAAGGGCTGCCCTGACCTCTGAGCCCCTTTCCTGCCCTGCCTGGCCTATGACATGATGCTCCCTAGCCCTGGGTGACATCTCGCTTTCATCCACTGAATCATAAGCTTTGTGAGGGGCATTTTTTAAGTGCCCAGCTTACTCACCAGCCTGCCCTCCCCCCTGGGCCTGGCTGCATGTGAATGCCTCCAGGAGAAGGGTGAGCAGATGCCAGTGCTCTGAGCCCCCAGGGGCCAGCGAGGGGAGGAGTATGGGCATCCTGTTGGTGGTGAGGTTTTGCCAGGTGCCATGGTGGGTATGAAGCCCGCAAACGCAAACCATTGCTCTCCAGCAGTGTCATTTAGTGCCTTCAGAAAAAGAACTTTCAGGAAGGAGACACACAAAGCAGACAGAGAATGTCATTGCGACAGTCATTATGAGAAGGGCTGGGTGACTCAGATGGGGCCTGAAACAGCCCAAAGATGGGATGGCCCTGCACGAGAATCAGGAGCTTTGACAGGTGGGAATTTCAGGTGGGAGAATAGAAGTAAAGGGGCCGAAATGGGAAAAGCAGGGCTTTCCTGGGAAGTGAGAACGTGTTCGCCTTGACCAGGTCATAAAGGTGTCACAGCCAGTGACTGGCCCAGGCGTACCACTTGAAACCTGAGCTCCTATCTCCGTGATCAGCACAAAGCACCTGTGGTAGGATGTGTGTCATTATCTCCGGTGTGCAGATGAGCAGATAGACACCCAGAAGGCAGGAATGTGTTGAGAAGCTGTACAGAAGTAAGAGGTGGTTCAGCGCCGAGCCCCGAGTCAGCCTGCCTTGAAGCTCCTCGTGACATGGCCAGCATCCCTGTCCAGGACCTGGGAACCCAACCAGCAGGGAGCCCAGCCTGCTATTGGTATTTAGTCAGGGGCTTTGATCTGTTCAGTCTGATGAACATTCTGCCCTTTCATGCTTGCAAACTACATAAACATAAAATATTCCTAACTGTAACACAGGATCAGACGCCCTCCTCCCCTGCACCGCCCAAACCCAGCTAATCCACATGTCCCTTCCTAAACTAGTACGTAATTATGCCCAGCAGTGTGATCCAAAACTGCCAAAAGGCAGATAAATCGGCCGGTGCGTGCCGCTGCCACCTGCCCAGACGCCCCGACAGCTTCTCCGGGGCTGCTGCTGTCACTCGTGCCACACCCGCATGCTGCAGTGCAGATGTCTGGGAACCGAGAGTGCAGAAACAAACATGGTGTGTTCACGCGATCGAATTTTACTCAGAAATAAAAGACACAAAGCAGTGGTACATGTTACAACCCGGATGGGGGCCCTGTCAACCTCATATTAAATGAAAGAGGCCAGTCACAAACCCGCAAATGCGATTCCGTACAGGAGATATCTGAAGTCAGCTACTCTGGGGACAGGAAGAGCATTTGCCTCGAGCAGGGGAAGAGGAGCTTTGAAGGGGAAATAGAGCGTGAATGCCAAAAGGTGCAGGGTTTCTTATTGGCATCATGAAAATATTCTACTGTTGTGGAGTGCATTGCACAGCGCTGTAGCACACTAAAAATCCCTGCACTGTGCACTTTCAATAAGCAAGTCACACACACACAGGTCACAGACCTGAGTAGTAATAGAGGTGTGGAGGTCAGAGGACACACGACGATAGAGCAGAACTGTTATTTCCTGGCAAGCAGTGATCCCCGTGGCTGA